GGCATGCATGATAAATTAAATCTGTACCTCTTCAATCAGCCTTCATGTCCAATTAAGATGCTTTACTTCCAGCATCCATGTCCGACGACGACAGCCTGCCGCCTGAAGTGGATTTTGGAGTTATGAGGCAAGGGGCCATATACGTCCCAGATCCTTATGCCTACGACCCTCCCTTGCCAGCAAGGGAACAACGAGAAAGGAACGAGAGCGAGGAGTCACAAGTCCAGTGAAGTTCATTATTGAATCTGGACGCTTGTTTATGTCAATATTTCATTGCAAGTGATATGTCTAAAAATCGGGGAGAACAGGCAGAGGCATATGCTACAAATACTGTTTTAATTGTCCATACATATTACATACACCAATATTCATGATCGATAGACATACCAAAGCAAACAACTGAAATAGTTTAGTAAATACAGGGCTGAAACACAAAGGATGCTAAAAATATAATGTTTCGTTACTGTACACTCTTCCAGATGCACCTGTGAAAACTGTCCCCTACAAGAAGGGCAATGCTGCCGCGATGTTCCACGTGTCGCACGGAACTGCTTAGGTCGGTGCATCACTGGAGACGAGCTGTTTGGGCTCGTCTGCTTGGACGAGAGGCTACTCGATATAGCCTACGAGAAGCTGAAAATCTATGAGCCAGCATACTTGGAGCCAGCGGCTAGGGATCGGAACAAGTAAGACCAGCTGTTTAAAACAGATGTTTGAGGCACCACAAATTCAATTTGATATAGCCTGTAATGTGTAGGTAGTAGGACACAATCAGTGTTTAGTTAGGCTAACGCACACCAGCTTGGGGTCATGTAGAGTACGCCACTGTGCATCTGATTCTGACAGAAAGCGCAGTATGCAAATATTTCCACAAAGAAAGTGGCATGTCTCGGGTGCTCTATTTGTGTGTTCGTGTGAGCATGAAATTCGCGTGATTATGTGGGTTTGGTTTAATAACTACAACCAGGACATGCTGCCCACGAGCCAGGAGAGTGTCTAGTGTCTCAAAAGACAAAGAACAACACTGCACACTGCCACAACGAAAGTGATCAACAAGATCGGCACCCTGCTGACCTCAGATCAAACTAAAATATGCGAGCTGGAAGAAAAGCTTGATATTCTTCTAAAAGAGGCTTACCTAAGGGAGATTGACAGAGAAATCGAGCCGTCAATCAAAGATGAAGCTTTAGAAGAGGAAGTGAGTGGCATGGAAGGGTATGTGGAACTCATGAGCGTAGCCGAAGGGCGGGTGAAGCGGAAGTTCAGGGAGCACAAAACAAGGAGCAATTCAACATCTGGTTCTTCGACACCTGGCAGCAACTCAGGACAGCCCTCATTTAACCATACCTTGACGACAGGCTTCTGAAATTGGAGATCGCGAAATTCAGAGGAGACATTCGATTATGGCCTGGCTTCTGGGGCGAATTCAATACAACGATCCATCAGAACGAGTCTCTTTCCGGCATTGCGAAATATAAGCACATAAAAAGCTACCTCATTGGTAGGGCTGCCGTAGCGATCGAGAAACTCCAACTGACAACCAAAAACTACAAGGTTGCCCTCGACCTTCTTACCCAAAGATTCGGCCAAACGGACCTAATTGTCAAGGATCATGTCGCAGTCGATGGCTGTCCGAGCGGTTCACGACTCCAGAAACAATGAGAGGCTCAACGTTTCTGGGCGTTCACAGCCTCAAAAAAGTTCACAGCCTCGAGGCCGAAGAGAGAATGTATAAAGTGCTGCTCCTAACGCTGTTGCGTAAAACAATACTAGCCGATGTGGGCCTGGAGTACAGTCATAGGGTAAACGCGCATTCAACATACCTGGAGGATGAGCTGCGAGGTTTTTGAGAAATGAGGTGGAATGCCGTGAAAGGATGCCACCGGTAACTGAGGGCATGTATCGACAGTGCAGAAGCCTCGAGTTGCAACGGCGGCGGCGCTTACCACAACAACCGATGCAGACAATAGATACGTGTTTCGTCGCATGGACAATCACGGCCCGGACGCCTGCGCTTCTGGGATGTCGCTGGGAGTCTGAAGAGACGTCCTGCACCGAGAAAACCGCCGTTTCTATTTCACGAAAAGAAGGCACTTATCACGAGAATGCAGAGGCAGGCACTAGATGACTGAGCTGTGTACGGTGTGGTGGATGACACGTCACTGTTATGTGCAATCCCAATGTGACACTACGCAGTACACAAGCAGAAAGGAGCGCAACCATCATGGTGGTGAAGGAGGTGGCAGAAGGAGCAGTTTTGCAGTCCGTCATCACTCATAATCCAAGACAACACAATCGGAGCAAGCAAGAACCAGGTGTTCCTGCAAACGGCATATGTGTGGGCCGAAGGTCGTCAGGGGCGCACGCTCCTCAGACATTTTTTTGAATGGTGGCAATCGGCGCACGTTTGTCGGATTTGACATAGCTGAGAAGCTGCAACTCTCCGTGCTGGGTGAAGAGGACCTCAGGATTTTCACCTTCGACGGAAACGCAACAGCCAATCAAGTGATGTGCCGCCAAGTGGAGCTTTGGCTAGAAGTCGGCTTGACAGGAGAGAAGTCCGGGTGGAGGCTCCTGAAATGCCCTGCATCTGCGCTGACCTTGTGATGGCCCCCTCAGACGTTGTGACGACGCAGATGAAGATGGAGGGCAAGAACATCATTGACATCTTACCTGGCAAAGCCGTCGAGGATGACATTGGACCTCTGGTCAGGGCCGATCACTACCGGGATGTCGTCACCAGAAGCGTGATGTGCCGAGCCACAAACTGATGGCAGTGGATACGGTATTCAAATGGACCCCGCAGGGCCAGGTCGGAACAACCAAGTCTACGACAATCTTCGTCGGCCACGAGCGTGATGGGGGTCATCGTGAGGGAGGAGACCGACAAAAAAATATCCGCTCAGCTCAGATTCGTTTGGGCACTGGGGCACCTTGGAATCTAAGAACAGCAAACGACAACCTCTCACTATGAAGCCATACTTCAGCATCAGAAACAAAATCATCAAGTACGAAGATTGTCGGTACGAAGTGTCGCTTCAAACGGCCGAGGAACTTACAACCTAGATATGCGGTAAGGCATCTTAGATAGCGAACCACTTGCCTGCTAGAGTGAGCAGATAGTCAAGGATCATTATGCCTGCATCGGAGACTATGTAAAAAAGAGCTATGCCGAACTAGGTAAAAAAGGAAACGGCTCTGCAAGCAGTCGAGCCTACTACATGCCGCACCCATGTGGTCGTACGTCATGAAAGCAGAACGACCTGATTGAGGGTTGTATTTGACGCATTGTCGAGCGCTGGAGGTCGTTTCTCACTGAACACAGTTCTGGAAAGCGGGCAGAATTTGAATTTGGAGCTGATCGACCTGCTCATCAAGTTCCGCACTCAGAACATCGGGATCATCACGGACATTCAGAAAGCCTTCCTGCAAGTGTTTCTCTCGAACAACAATCGAAGTGTGGTGCAGTTCCTACGGTGTGAGAGAATGCCGATATGCGGGGAAGAGCTTCAACCAATTGTGTCATATCAGGCGATGCGCGTGTCCTTCAGCATGACGTCGAGCCCCTTTCTCCTAGCTGCAACATTACAGCATCATCTCAAAAACGTGCTAGAGCAGTTCACAAAGACGGCAGACGCCATACGGAGCCAACTGTACATTGATGACCCCGTCACTGGTGTTGATAGTGGACAGGAGGCGAGGGGCTCTATGAAGAGGCAGCGAAAATCTTGAATCAAGCCGGAATATGCGACCTGCAAGTGAATGTCGAATGGCCTCGAACTGGTAGATTTGTTAGAAGATGGAGAGACCCAACACACCGATGCCGACCTTGGACATTCGGGACTCGTAAAGGTCCTGGGAGTGGCCTGGAATCCTCAGACATACCAGTTTGAGTACATGATAAGCTCTCTCATCGATTTCTTGTCATCAAGACTGGACAGCTAGAGGTCCATGCTTTTAGTGTTGGCGAGAATCTTTGATCCGTTTGGATTTGTGTGGCTCCTACAACAGCAATCGTCAAGATAATGTTTCAGGGATTGCGGGAGCTCGGAGTCAATTGAGATGACCCCCAGCCGGAGTCTCTGCAGGCTGTGTGGGAGCACTGGTGCACGGAGCTTCTCTGCATTGGAGACGTGTTTGTCCCCGGAGTGATCACCCGAGATTTTAAAAGCGACAAGACGAAGTCCAAAAGCCTAAAGCGCCGTGCCATACATGGCAACAAAGACTCAGTCGGGGAAAGTGAACACAAGCTTGTTCATGTCCAAATCCGGGGTTGCCCCTCTTAAATACTTTTTGCTGCTCCGACTCAAGATGATGGAAGCCGTAATTGGTGCGCACCTATCCCACAAATCACGAGAGCTCTACACCTGAAAAGTGCTTCCACGCGGCTCTGGACGGACTCCACAGTGCCAACGTACTGGGTCAAGGGGGCAGCAAACCGACGGAAGCCCTTTGTGGCAAACTGAGTTGCCGAAGTGCAGCAACTGACACACCCCAAAGATACAAGTTGTGGGGAAAATAAACTAGTCTTGCTCGTTGTTATTGAAATGAAGGGTGCTGGTTCGCGAGTGTCTCAACTTGATAGTTCAGGTAAAGCAAGTTTTACCGAAATGCTACATGGCATGTACCTTTTTCAGAAAATATAGGTTCACGGCCTACAAGGAGTTTGTATGGTGGATTTGGGGCAGGCTGGGCCGTCGCCGACGTGTCAGGCTCCCATGCTGTGTGGTCGGAAGAATCAGGGAACAGTTTCCGTCGGCCACATACACAGGGTTCCAATACTGCTAAGTCGAGAACCTGGACCTGTGGGCCAGGACGGCGGCTTCCTTGTTTGGCCTCTGGGAAACGCTGCACAGAGACTTCCCTCGTGAGCGGAGAACGTAGGTGGCCTGGGCCTCCTGGTAGGTCCGGACTCCCTCTGCCAGTTCCAGGAAGCAGCCGAACAGCTTCTAGGTGTAGTCTAGGTCAAGAATGATAAGAATTAAGTCACATACATTGTGTCAATAAAAACGTTTGCATTTACCGTAGGACGCAGGCTCCATTTTTCGGTTGACGACCCACTCGCCTTTCCTCGCCTTAGGGAATTTCAGGACAAAGCAGTCCTTGCCATCCTTGGTTGTGGCCTGCTTTCGATCCGAGTTGGCGTTGTAATGAAGGACAGCAATGGCAGTCCTGTGAAGGCCACGCAAAATAGGCAGAATATGTCCTTAGCATATTTCACCATTCTACAAACATAAAAGGGAACCTCGTTGCCCTAGAATACTTCAAAATCTCAACCTACCGTGCCTCCATGCCCACCAGACTGAAGTGGCTCGACTTCGGGGTAAATCGTAGCAGCAGGCTGTGAAAGGACTCGAGCCGGTACGTCTGGCCATCTCCAGACAGCTTAGGAATGTCCTTCAGCAGCTGTCGTGACATTACCACCTTTTCGAGGGCGTCGTACGGCTCAGTTCCTGCAGTTAGAAACAGCACCAGGTTAAATGGTAAGGATGATGCACACTGTAAATTCCCTGGTATATGTCAACATTACCCTTAAGAAGCCACCAGCGTTCTTCAACGATTGGGGCATGCGTGCAAGCAGGGTAGAGCGGGTCGGGATGCTGGTGCACATTGTCCACATGGCGCATCAAGGACATCCACTTGGCCAGCACCAGTGCACCATTGTCATCACTGGTTTGGGCACACCAGTAAACGTGTGCCCGGACAGTCTTGACCCACTTGTTTAGCAGGCTGTTGCGCTTTGTTTTCCCCGCGAGGGCCAGCTTGCTCCCGATGCCTTAAAATTAGAAAAGGTGTGTGCATGGCAAGCAGAGTAACAATGCATTTTGAATGACAATATACATATATGTTCAACAGACTAAAACAAATGGCAGCACCAAGCTAACTAAAAACTAAGTTCAGCATCACTTGTACTACGTAATCCGTTTGGTAAGATAATGTTACCTTTGGCAACATGCCATGCATCGAAACGGTGCTTGGTGTTGGGGTAGTTGCTCTTCATCAGGGCGTTCACCCCAAAGTGGCGGTCCGTGACGAGCACATGCGGGCAGAACCCCCAGCCCTGGAGATGGTCGAAGGAACGTTTGAGGCCCTCGGTTTCCATGTTGTTGCTGGACTTGACTTCTGTTGACTGATGTAAAAAGAAAAGGTAGCAAAATATAGAACACTTGTTCATTTAAAAGCTGAGTTTAATTTATCTATATTTATGAACTGTGACCTCGGAAGGTCTGATGTCTTGGGATGACAAGTAAACGACGGATTTGACATAAAATGAATCCTATAGAGATGGCCAACTATACCCAATTGAGTGAATTTACAAATCTTGCTATATAAAATGTTCTTTCGTTAATCTCGGGTTAAAAATACTGAATCGCGCATGCTGAATGCAGATTGTAAGGGCATCTTTGCCTAACATATTATAATCTTGCATAACAGTCTGTTTAATTTTAAAATTTTTCTACAATGTAGATATACACATTCACAAATTTTCCATTTATTTTCAAATACAGCCGGCACGCGTGCACCATCCCGCTTTGATGTATGCTTTTCTTCCAAGCACGCAATTGCGATATTTATACTTTTCCAAGTCTTTATTGCGGCAGGTTACCCCGTTGAGTGCGCTTCTTACCGAGCACAGATGCAATTCAGAGAAGCGTTACTTGCGGAGCTCGCTTCCGCGGGCATTGCTAGTGCACTGATGCTCGGTAAGAAGTGCACTCAACGGAGCTAACCCGCCGCAATCAAGACTTCGAAAAACGCGAATAGTCCAGTTCATGTCGAAGCGAATATCGAATATCGTATCTTTCGAAACTACTATTCAAATATTCGCACAACTCTACATAAAACAATACCCAAACAAATATTCTACTTAGTTATAAACGAAAGGTAACAAGATAAATAACTCAATTGAAGTAGGCAATTTTCTACTGAGCCAGTTCTTACCTGGATAACCTCGAAGTGTAGGATTTTGTTGATGTTTGTTTCCAGCAGCGTGTACGTGCCATACTTCGCCGAGTAGCCGGGAGAATCGGCACGGCCGTCGCCTGCCAGGTGAAGCTTGCTGCCACGCATCGCTGTAAGGAGGGTGGTCTGCTCTTCTTTCCATACCTTTGAAATGCAGAAATATAACATCAATCTCAACACAAAGAGATACATGTTTAACCAACAATTCTCTAGGCAGGTGTACTCACCTTTGCAGCGGCAGGAAACACCAGACAGCCTTGAATCAGGAAGAGTTGGCTCTTTTGAAGAACGGCAACACCTACAGAGCTCAGGAGACGAATAACTCGTATAGGACTGGCCCCAGAGAATGTAATGGCGGCGGGTAGGAGAAGATTCATCAATGCCTTCCCATTAATCCTGGGCTGGCTTTCCCAGACAGTCTTGTGGCCCCTTACACACACATTCACGGCATGCAGCAAGGTCCCCCGCTCCTTCAAACTTGTATGTGTAGGAGCCAAGCATTCCCTACAGACCGAAAACAACTGCAGGAGCATTGAAGCGCAGACGATGAACTTCCTTTCTTTCACGGGGTTGGTGGTCGTGGCAGAGGTGCTGCACTCTCTGCAAAACAAAACAAGCAGTGCATTTAAAACTTGCTTCAGAAGGTGTGTTTTTTCCATTTCCTCTACGCTTTCGCTCGTTGTTAGGTCAGGGGCACCGGAACCAGGGGGGCAGTTGCCCCACAGGTTCTACACCACAGGGGGCATGCCCCCACCCTAAAAGCTGTTCCGACCCCCCCCCCCCCCTCTCACCACCCGTAAGGCTGTTGAAGCAGGCTGCACTCCATAGACGACGAGGTGCCACAAGCTAATCAGTAGTTGGTGACATGTATTCTTTCTTTGGAAGCCTTGTTAATCCGTTCGTTTGAAGTTGTCATTCATTGTTTGTCCAATATGTGCGTTCTCACTAATCAATCTCCAAAGATTCTATCAGACTGCAGCCTTCATTTTTCTGCACTGTGCTTCGTCAGTTGCTGTTGATATACCGGGTGATTCAAGGAGACGGCAGGTTCTTTAAATCGACCGGAAAATTCGGTTTCCTAACCTATCGCGCTACGACTTTGTGGAGCGTTGCCCACAGATGGTGCATTGCATTTGTAAAATTTGCAAAGAGCGAACTTACCTGAGGAAAAAGTAAAGAAAGAAAAAGGCTGGAAACGCAGCGACGCCACCGGTCTTCAAACAACACGGCGCCGTTCCGCGGGCGCCGTTAGCAGACAAGGAACTGCAGTTCCCTGTTGTTACCGCACCTGTTTTTGTTTTTGCGACTGTCGCCGCCCGCGGAACGCGCGCCGCTTTTGAGTCGAAAAGATTGTCTGCTAAAGAGGCCGGCTCTTGGCGCCGTACGCTCGTTCGTTGCGTCATCTCTTGTGTCCCGTGCGAAACGGCGCCGTGTTGTTTGAAGACCGGTGGCGTCGCTGCGTTGCCATAGGAGCTAAGCCTTTTTCTTTCTTTACTTTTTCCTCAGGTAAGTTCGCTCTTCGCAAATTTTACAAAAAAAATGCACCATCTGTGGGCAACGCTGCACAAAGTCGTAGCGCGATAGGTTAGGAAACCGAATTTTCCGGTCGATTTAAAGAGCCTGCCGTCTCCTTGAATCACCCGGTATATATATAAAGAGAGAGAGAGAGGTGAACTACACGATGCAACATGAGCCCCCGGATGTTGCCCCCACGCATCAGATATACTTCTGAAGCCCCTGTGTTAGGTGATCATTTAGGACTTAACACTCGAAATCCAGAACATCAAAGCTATATCCTATTTGTAGCATAAAATTATGGTTTCGAGAAGGTACAGTGAGCACATACGCATCAGGTCCTTCTTCATCCGAGGTCTCGGAGTCGTTCCAGGGACTGGTGTCTGGAGAATCCAGTTCCTCATCCGAGTCGATCGAATCCTTCGGCCGATAGCTGGTGTCCAGGGCATCGCTGTACATGTCCTCAGAGTCGCTCTCCTCATCGCTCATGTCCACAGGATCGGTGTCGGGCTGCGAAGTCTGAGGAGTGCCGTCCAAGTCCAAAGAGCTGGGGACTGTGCCACTAATAGGCGTAGAGCACCGCTGAAGTGGCTGCTCGTGCTGTGCGAAGGTTGCTTCTGCTACACAGTAGGAATAAGCATAGAGACAGTTATTCATTGTTTTGTTCCAATTTCATGTAAGTGCTCACCCTGAGTTCCTTCTGCTGCTTGTAGATGTCCTGGGGCACCGGTCTCATCTCCCAGGGGACTTGGGCCTGCCACCTCCGAAACGGACTCGTCCTCGGGACGAACACAGCTGTGCAATGCATCTGCAACAAAAGTGCATTGCAAATGAAATTCAGTTATGATCTCTTCTCTCAAATGTAAGCCTATGTAAAGACACTGCATCACATACCGGAGGATGTGGTCGACGCCTGAATTTCAACCGATGTTTGCGAAGGTTTTTCTGTTTGTATGCCTTTGCTGACATACCAAGACTTTGGCGTCTGTGTACTTGTTCAACTAACTCGACGCAGTTGTTCCCCTAATGTAACGTCAATGATTTTGCGCTACATTAGGGGAACAACTGCGTCGAGTTAGTTGAACAAGTAAGGATTTATATACAATATTTACATGATGGTTCCGTTTGCTTTTGGAGCGCCGTAGCTGTCACCGTCCCTTCTTTTTCGTCGTAGTTCTCCTTTTCCTCTTCTTCTATAGACGATAATTTTCAACAAACTCCCCCCGAAATGAGCGGATGCTCATTCTTGCAATTCCAGCGGGTATAATAACTGTATCGGACGGCGGAGCTCTCCCCCACTGGGCAGCACAATCCTGCATGCTCGAACCTTGCCGTCCTTTCCTGGGAAAGTCTCTTTAACTCTGCAGATTTTCCACATCTGCCGTGGGAGTCGGTCGTCCTTGAGAAGGACGATGTCATCGGTTTGTAAACCACTTGAACTGTTGGGTTTGGTGATGTGAGCTGACCTCAGTTCTAGCAAATATTCAGATCTCCATCTTCTCCAAAATTGCTCTATGATAGTGGATCGATATTTCCAATGTCGCGCTAAGTGTCCAGAACTTGCTTCATCTTTTGCTGGTAAGTGATGTGGGGGAAGGGTGGTCAGTTTACGTCCCAATAAAAAGTGTGCTGGAGATAGAGCCTCTGGTTCTTTAGGGTTGTTATAAATGTACGTCACTGGACGGGAGTTGACTACAGCTTCTACCTCAGTGAGGACCGTGGCCAGTTCTTCGAAATTTAAACTACTACGGCCCAGAACCTTGCGTAGTGAGACTTTGACCGACCTCACTAGTCTCTCCCAAAAACCGCCCCACCATGCGGCTCTTTCTACAATTGTTTTCCACCTAATCCTGTGATTTGCAAAGTAGGTCTGCGCTTCCTCTCCTTGTATTGCTTCAAACATTTGTCTGATATCTTTAGCGGCTCGTTTGAACGTTGAGGCGTTATCCGAATAAATCGTTTTTGCGATGCCTCGGCGTGCAACGAAGCGTTTGAACGCCAACAAAAATGCTGTTGTCGATAGGTCGCTCACAAGTTCGAGGTGCACGGCACGTGTTACGGCACAAGTGAAAAGTGCAATGTAAACCTTGCTACTTCCGTAGTGATGTCGACATATCAAAGGTCCCGCGAAATCCACACCAGTAGTTCCGAATGGTTCGCATCTTGAAACTCTGTCGGCTGGTAGTGGAGCTACCGGCTCTGACGCAGGTGCACAGCTTTGCCTTTGGCAAGTTAAACAGCGACGTATTACTTTCTGTATGACTTGTCTTGCCTTTATAATCCAGTAAGTTTCCCGTAGCTGCGTCACAGTGTCTTGAACTCCGGCGTGTAGCAGTCGACGATGTTCTTTCTCAATCAGAAGGGTAGTGAACCGGTGATTTGCAGGTAAAATTATTGGGTGTTTTACGCTTTCCTCGTTGTTACTAAATTGTAATCGACCACCAACTCTCACAATATCATCACTGTCAATAATTGGGTTGAACGACTTGATTTTTGAATTTTTGTCAACTTGCTGCTGATCTTTCAGGTGTACGATTTCCATCGGGAAAGCCTGCATTTGTGTAGCCGCTATCCAGTATTTTTCTGCGTCTATGATTTCATCGGTTGTTAGCGCTCCCCTGCGTTGTCCTTGTTGTTTTATGTTGTTTACGAAGCGTTTAATCCAGGCCGTCACTCGAACCAACTTATTAAATGAACTGTAGTTCTCTAAGTTCATCAGATGAATTTCATCGGGTATTGTGAGTTGAACAACAATATCTTTCTTTTCTTCAGCCTTGTATTCTTCGCATTCTGGTCTTTCCTCAACTTGACTTGGCCAGGATGATTCCGAGAATTGAAGCCAGATGGGTCCATTCCACCATGTGTTGTTCTCAACCAGAGCACTTGGCATGAGTCCACGCGTTAAAAGATCTGCTGGGTTTTCTGAACCAGGGCAATGTCTCCAGTTGATTGGTTCCGTCAGACCTTGGATCTCTGAGACGCGATTTGCAATAAACTGCTTCCACCGGTTTGCAGAACTACGAATCCAATAAAAGACGATCATGGAGTCAGTCCACAAATACACTGGGAGTCCTTCCATCTTCAACTTCTTTGTTAGAGAATGCGCCAAACGAGCGCCAATTAATGCTCCCATAAGCTCTAGTCGCGGAAGGGTCAACCGCTTGAGGGGTGCCACTCTCGATTTCGCCATTACAATGGCCACACACTTTCTTCCCTCTTCCTCTTTCGATGCCACGTACGCTACAGCTCCGTACGCTTTTGTGCTAGCATCGCAGAAGACATGCAATGCCTTTTCTGTTTTGTCTTTGTTGAAGTCGCGAACGATGAGTCTTGGAATAGCGACGTCCTTCAAGGCAGTGAGGTCTGTACACCACTTGTCCCATGCTTCGTATAAGTCTGAAGGTAACACCTCATCCCACTCAACTCCTCGCTCCCAAAGTCGTTGAAATAGCATTTTTATGGTTGTCACGGTGGGAGCAAGAAAACCCATAGGGTCAAATATGCGAGCTGTTGCTTGAAGTACGAAGCGTTTGCTGTCTTCACGTGAGCACAGAAAGTCAATTAGAGGTTCTATGTCGAAATTGATGATGTCTGCTTGTGCTTCCCAACCAATGCCTAGAACCTTTGTTCGGCCAATTTGTTCGGTTAGTGGTACTTGGCCGGATCCTTCTTCTCTTAATTCAATAACAACCTTGGTTCATTTGATTTCCACTTTCTAAGATGCATTCCCGCCTTTTCTAGTATCTTTGTTGCTTCTCTGCACAGTACCTGGGCTCCTTCCAAATCATCGGCGCCAGTTACCAGGTCGTCAACATACATGTGCTGTTTTAGAGTATTCGAGGTATCGGGAAATTCTTCGTTCATTAAGTCGAAATGGTGTCTCAACGTTGCTGCCAGGAGAAACGGACTTGATGTTGCCCCAAATGGAACTCTGGTCATTCTCCATGTTGTTATAGGCGGAAGGTGATGTCCTTGCTGTGCAGTAGTTTCGTACCATAAAAAACGTAAGGCATCTCTGTCTTGCTCCGCCAACATCACTTGTAAAAAAGCCTTTTCGATGTCTGCTATTACGACGACATTGTGAGTACGAAACTCGATCAGCAGGTCTATTAATTCAGGATTTAAGTTCGTTCCACTGGATAAGGTGTCATTCAGTGAAAGTTCCCCTGCAGCGCTGGAGGACGCGTCGAATACCACCCGCAATTTTGTTGTCAGTCGTTCCTGTCGCACAACCGCTTGGTGTGGCATGTAATATACAGGATTTCCGCTTTTTTCATTACTTTGAACCTTTTCTGCAAACCCATTGCCAAAATATTCCCGTATTGCTGTGTCGTAGTCTCTCATGAGCGCTTTGTTTTTCATGAGGCGTCCAGTCAGTGATCGGAGCCATCGTTCTGCATTCTCTTTGTTGTCTTTGAGCATATCAACTTTATCATTCCATGGGAGGAAAACTTGGTATCGTCCGTCTTCATATTTTACGCTCTTTTTAAAGTCTTCAAATTGAGCAATTTCGTTGGTTGACGTTTCTTGTTCCTTAATTCCGATATGCTCCAGTTCCCAGAACGATCGCAATTGTGTTGATATCTCAGTTGCGTCAGCTGTCGTAACCTTCATCACTCCAGTAATTGATGAGTAGATAGCAGTAGATGATCTTGAGGACATGGGCCCTTGTAGAGTCCAACCGAGGATGGTGTCGACGGCCATCAATCCTGTTTTCAGGCGTCTCAAGCTTCCACTTACCACGTCCCAATAGTGGTCGGCTCCGATTAGTAGGCTGATACCGTTTTCACATTCGTCGTTGTTGAGAGACGTATCAGCAAGCAGCATTTTTGTTGGCGTTCAAACGCTTCGTTGCACGCCGAGGCATCGCAAAACCGATTTATTCGGATAACGCCTCAACGTTCAAACGAGCCGCTAAAGATATCAGACAAATGTTTGAAGCAATACAAGGAGAGGAAGCGCAGACCTACTTTGCAAATCACAGGATTAGGTGGAAAACAATTGTAGAAAGAGCCGCATGGTGGGGCGGTTTTTGGGAGACCTGGAACATGAAAATCGTGATATTTAGGATACATTCTTCAAAATTCTTACTGTGCAGGCACCTTTTATTAGCCTTTTTGAACATGTCTGGCTCCATGTACTGCATGTGGGTGGCCGGATGACCTACACGCACGTAAGTTCACTCGAGCTTGCAACCTGCGACGCCACTGAAGTGGCTCGGTCCCTTTCCTGTAAGAGTGGTGCACCAAGTGATAGCATCTGCAGGCACACCAAACACAGCACGTAACAATGTAGGCAGAAATACATACTGGGAGTGGGCATTCTGCTCTAGCTGGATCCACTCGGACGACAGAAGGTCCACTATGCAACGCCTCGTGGGCTCCGTCTTTTTCGGAGGCATCACTGGGCGACGCATCCAAATGCAAAGTTTCCCTTGCTGTGGATAACGTGCTGTTCTTCCATGTGCGGTCCCTTTCCTGTAAGAGTGGTGAACCAAGTGATAGCAGGCACACCAAACAGCACGTTACAATGTAGGTCAAAATACATACTGAGATTGGGCTTTCTGCACTAGCTGGATCCACTTGGATGACAGAAGGTCCAGTATGTGATGCCTCATGGTCTCGGTCTTTTTCGGAGGCATCATTGGGCGACACATCCAAATGCAGAGTTTCCCTTGCCGTGGCCAATGCGCTGCTCTTGCATGCTCGGTCTCTTTCCTGTAAGAGTGGTGAACCAAGTGATAGCATCTGCAGGCACACCAAACACCACTAACAATGTAGGCCAAAATACATACTGGGATTGGGCATTCTACACCAAGTGGATCCAGGTGGAGGCTAGCAGGTTCACTTTGCGACGACAGCGCTTCTGGGCCTCTGTCAGAGGCGTCGTCCAGTGTAGTGCCTGCCAGCAAACCATCATGTGCCAAGGTTGTGCTGCTGAGTTGCCTAGCTGTATCTTGGTCTCCACTCTGTGAACGCAATCAAACAATATTT